CTTCCATATCAATATGACTATATATGGCTTTGGTATTATTGAGAAGACATTTCCTATATACTGTAAATCACTTAATTTTCGCGACACCTTATTTTCGCGAGATAGTCAATGACTCTTCATTAGCGAGACAAAATTTTCAAAATTGTGGTCATTGCTCTACATAATCATAAGGAATTATATTATACGCGAGAATCAAATTTTCGCGACCATACCGTCTCACGTAATAATGTGAAAGTAAAGTAATTTACAATATTCCCCTGTCCATTTTGATCCACCATTGGGGCCCTGCCCTACACCTGGGAGTCATGATTTGAACAAACTTAAATCTACACTACATGAAGATGCTACCGTATACATATCACCAGTCATGACATATTTGTTTCTGAGAAGATTTCTAAAAATATTTCCAATATAATCCCATGATTGTCCAATGTGGCCCAAACCTTTTCCCGGTAGACATGATTTGAACAAAATGAAATCTTCACTACCAAAAAGGATGATTTGCTATCAATATAACTAATTGTGGCTTGAGAAAAAAAAAGTATATCCCTACATACTGTAGATTCCTAAATATGTGCGTGAAATTATTTTCACGTAATTTCGAGAGAAGCACCACACACAAAATTAAATTACTCGCCTTTATTTTTATGGCGCTGAAATCTATGTAAAATCTCTTGATCATGTTGATCAATCATTCATTCACGAATTATTATTCTTGTGATTTGACAGTGAAAAGCCTATTCGCAATAATTACTCGCGAAAAATAAGGAATCTACAGTATTATATATATTTTTGATCCTCTATTCTTACACCAACATGGGGTCTTGATTTGACTAATTTTGAATTCTACACTACCTGAGGGTGATGCCACATAAGTGTCTCTTTCCTGTCTCAGTGGTTCTTGAAAGAAGATTTTTAAAGATGTCCTTAATTTTTCTCTTATGTAATCTTCCATTTGAAGAGGGAGTGGGCCTTCATTTGAATAAACTTAAATCCCATAATGGCATTTATCCAAGGATACTCTTTGCCAAGTTTCGTTGAATTTGACTAAAGATGAAAATGTGAAATTTTACAAACAAGAGGCCCAAGGGCCATATCGCTCACCTGAGAAGCTTTGACCATTCTGTTCTTTACCAGATTTCCCCCTTGTAACACATATTGTGACCCCGCCCTACCCCACTGATCAAAATTTAGACAATTTGAAATCTACACTACCCCAGGATGCTTCCACATAAGTTTCAGCTTTTCTGGCCCAGTGGTTCTTAAGAAGAAGATTTTCAAAGATTTTTCCTATATATTTCTATGTAAAACTTTGATTCCCCATTGTGGCCCCGCCCTACCCCTAATGGTCATGATTTGAACAATTTAGAATCTAAAATATCCCAGGATGCTTCCACACAAGTTTCAGCTTTTCTGGCCTAGTGGTTCTTGAGCAGAGGATTTTCAAAGATTTTTTCTATATCTTTCTATGTAAAAATTTGATTCCCCATTGTGGCCCCGCCCAACCACCAGGGGTCATGATTTGAACAATTTAGAATCTACACTACCCCTGGATGCTTCCACAGAAGTTTCAGCTTTTCTGGCCCATAGCTCCACTAAATCAAAAATAATGGGCAAGGTTAAAGTTTTTGTGACGGACGGACAGACGAATGAGATTTAATGTCCCCTCGCTTTCGCTAGAGCGGGGGACAATAAAGAAGGCAATAAATTGTTATTTTATTCATTATGGTTTTATTTTGATCGGGATTGGTCCAAAATGAATTTTTTTTTTTCAATTTGCCATTTCATTTCAATTTCTTGCCAAAAAGACTGAGACTAGTCAAAATTCACATATACTTTGATCATTAGTAAACTTTAAGTGAATCATCATGCATACGTACAGATATTTCTACATCAGATAATAAAGGCTTGTCATAATTTTTATTTCTTTTACCACTAACCTTTCACTTGCTATTTGACTTCGAATTAAAGTCATGACACTCCTTAGGTTCATAAACAGTACCTGTATCAGGTTCCAATGAGCAATCTTTGTATCAAGTACGAGCTCCTAGTATTTCTACATTGTTAAGTTAAAGTCTTAAAAAATAATTTTACACTATTCTGCCTGTAACTTTGAACTTGCTGCATTGACACTGGATTAAAATAACTTTCCTTATTTCAAAAACAATACCTGTACCAATTCTTCTCCAAATAAAGTTTTAGCCGAGAGATTTTTTTTTTCTTTTTTCTACCAGTGACCTTGAAATCGCCAAAATGACCTTGGATAAAGGTCAAGGCATATTCTTTGATCATAAGCAATATCTGTACCGAGTATGAGCTTCCACTGACTCTCCATTACAAAGTCAAGTTATGTCATACCTTTTTTCTACTAGTAACCTTGAACTAAATGGAATGACTGGATTATTGAAGATCATGATACATTTTTGGGTCATAAGCAATCCCTGTACCAGGTTTGAGCTTCCAGTGATTCTTTCTACAAAGTTATGACCCAGACAAAAATTTCATACTTTTAGGCCAGTGACCTTGAACTTGCAGGAATGACCTTGTGTCAGATCAGGATTCACTGTCGGGTCATTACAAGCAAGCTCTATAACAAGTATAAGCTTCCAATGTTTCCATATACAATGTATCAAAGTTAGAGCCTAGACAAAATTACATTCACAGACAATGTGATTCCTATATATCCCTAAAACTTCCTTTGTTTGGGGTAAAAAGAGAAGTTTCATTACAAGGAATATACATTTGAAATATGAAAGCTCTAGCACTAATCATTCACATCATTTTGTTTTACCAAAGTAGGTCAAAGTCTAACTTAAAGCTTAAAAAACGTTCAAAAGGAATGGCCATGAGTATTAAAAATTAGTAAATTTGGAGACACATAAACAGACAGACAGCTTATCAAAATATGAATGGAATAAAAACTCAACAAGTTTAATTCCATGACAAACAGACTGTGTATTTTAATAATATGATAAATTCAAACTGACATAAATTAATCATGTATCACAAGGGACAAACTCGGTTTTTACAATTACATGTACATCAGTTATGCTTTTCAAGAAAAATTGAAAAAATATGAAACATCTAGAAAATCTTCATATACTACTTGTGTATGAAGTAGAACATGCTTATAGAACTTGACAAGGAAAAATATTTCATAAAAAAACTTAAATTACTTAGAACCTCAGTAACAACTAGTGTTGATACAAAGATAAAACTAAATTAGATAAGCAAGAAGCCCATGGGCCACATCACGCACCTGAGTAACTTTGGCCATTATAATATTAAACAGATTTCCCCCTAATACCTATCTTGACCTTTCCCAATCCCCAGGGGTCATGATCCAAGCAATTTAGAATCTACACTAGTAACACTACCCCAGGATGCTTCCACAGAAGTTTAGCTTTTCTGGCCCAGTGGTTCTTGAGAAGATTTTTTTATGACCCCACCCTATTTTTGTATATTCTTGACAATTTCCCCTCGGAAGGGGACTTTATTTTTATAATTTAAACTCCCACTACCCAAGGATGTTTTGTACTAAGTTTGGTCAAAATTGGCCCAATGGTTCTCAAGAATAAGCTGAAAATGTGAAAAGTTTACAGATGAATGGACAGTCAGACGGATGGACGACGGACAACAGGTGATCAGAAAATCTCATATGAGCTAAAAACTGCAAGGCCTGCTATGTAAATCAAAGGAGAGAAAATATAAAAGAATTTAGATTTTGCATATTGTTATATTTATTTATAATCTAAAACACTAAAAAATAATAATGTTACAATGAGATCACTTTATCTTTTCTAGCAATTTTCAAACTAAAATTAGATATCATTGAGATGGTGGCCATCTCAAAGGGTCCCACTTTCAGCAATGAACATAAAAATGTAAAGTAGCTGAAAGGGGTTTTAACCTTGACTCTTGGCCTAGAAACTTTGTTCAAGGTCACTACACATCCATTGACCAGTGGCACTCTGTGAGAGAAGTATTAGCCACATTGGACCAAGGGGAGAAAGCATATGCTCTGGACAAGGATTCACAATAAAAAAAATTACCTCCCTTTCTCTTAAGCTTAGATATTCAGACAAGCACTGATTTACCTCTCTTGATATTTTTGCTTAAAAATCCAATCTTTAACTTTTTTAAATTAAAAAATATAATATACAGATACAAAAAAAAACATTCAGAAAAAATAACGTAGTATATGAAAAGTTGTACAATAATGTAGTATCACAACTTTGAGTGATCTGCTGTGGATGTCATATGATCATGAGTTATCCTTAATGAGTTATGTACTCAGCATGGTACACTGAATCCTGAGAATAAAGCTGTTTACTGTGTCCATCACTTTGTAGATATTAGTACATACTCAACTCTGTCCACTGGATTCTGTGAGTTAAGCTATTTAGTGTGTCCATCACTTTGTAGATAACAATGTACTCAGCACGGTCCATTGAATTCTGTCAGTTAAGCTATTTAGTGTGTCCATCACTTTGTAGATATATAACAATGTTCTCAGCACGGTCCATTGAATTCTGTCAGTTAAGCTATTTAGTGTGCCCATCACTTTGTAGATATATAATAATGTACTCAGCACTATCCATTGAATTCTTTGAGTTGAGTTATTTAGTGTGTCCATCACTTGCAGTCCAAACCTTAAATTACTCTCTGCACTATTGTTGAAGCATATTTGTCTGCTATCAAAGAAACATGAAATTGATGGCAGTCTGCCTGTAAAAAAAGAAATCACAAGGACTCAACATAAATATTAATAAAATCTTAATAAATGAAAAATAGCTAACATATTTTTACAGAATAGAAGGATTTTGCAGAGCTTGTACATGTGTCTTACCTTTATTTTCAGGTCCCATAGTTGATCTCTTTGGAGTCTTGAGGAATCATGTTGATCTGCTTTTGGAAACAGGATCAATGCCAGCATAACCGCCTGCCTATTAACAAAAAGACACTAAGAATCCAAGCAATGAGAGAGTCAAAATCTCCTCTAATTCACATAATGCAAGGTCTAGAGCTTTACATGCATCTGATCTGACTAACCATCAATGTTTAGGTTAGACAGTAGTAAGTTCTTACTTTCCACATTCTTGTTAACTGATTGAGATCAGTCCCATCTTCTACTTGATAATGAAAAAAACATGAACAAAAATACCTTGTGCCAAAATGTTCACCTGAGTCATCTTGACTTTGTCATCAAAAGAAAAATTCTTAATTCATATTTTTTTTTTACTAATCCTAGTCCAAAGGGATCATGATGTAACATAATTTGAAACAACACATCCTCGGGATGCCCTATTGTTATTGCAACACAGTCTTGCTGTTGTGCAGCAGAAGTAAATCCCCCTGGACCTATGATTTGATAAGTGTATAAACAAAATCTGGAAATTGCAAAAAATAAATCTTTTTACCCACTCCTTAATCAGATATTGGCTGCTGTACAAAGCTTGGCAATAGACTCTTCTTTTTCTTCACTGGTCAGCACTGGTCCTCTACCCTTGTCAATTTCCTTGAAAATACTTGATGGAGAGAAGATAAGCAATAATACAAAGCAATGTAATAATCACAGAAATTCAAATGAACATAATCATTACAACATTATTAGCTTGAAAATCAAAAAGCAAATAAAGACAATAAGGTTATGATAGCTAGGAAAAAGGTGGTATTTGGGCAAGGAGAGGAAAGCATAGTTACTTTAGAGTAGGGAGGACAAAGATATGTCAGAAATAATTAAATAAAAAATACTTGTAAGACTCCTGCCTGTTAAAGTGAGTCATGATGAAGTTCCATAGGTGAAAAAGAAGTAAAGTCTGATTCTTACGAGTATTCTCCTCATGGCTGCAGCGGAATGGGAAAGGGACTCTTCCTCACTTAGAATTCCTGGTCAGTCTTAACTTTCTTCTGCTTAAAAAGATAAAACAGAGACATAAAAGGGGAAACACTTGCACTTCATACCAAGTGAGAAGCTTCAGTAAAAAGCAGCTTGTTGCTTACCACTTTTGACACATAATACCTGCAAAACACAGACAGGAATAGACTCTTCTTATATTAATGACCTTGGTCCTCCATTGTTGTTCCTCTTCTGAATCAAAGGGGAACTGAAATCTGTCAATTGAAGGTCCAGATGTTAAAGCTTGGTACAGCCAACATCAATAGGCAAGCAAAGATACAAGAAGTAAAATCTGAATCTTACCCTGCTTTCTGCTGCTGTATGCAGTTCAAATTGAGAGAGGGAGTCCTCCTCACTTCAGTCTCCTGTTCAGCCTTAAAAGTATTCCTCTTAAAAAGATAAAAATTAACAGACACCAAAAGAGGATCACTTGCACTTCATACCAAGTGAGAAGATTTCTAAAATAAACTAGTGGCCAAAGGGCAATATGCTCACCTAAGCAGATTGGCTAGTAAATGACAAATTAGTCCAGTATTGAAAAGTATAAAATTTAGGAAGAGGAGAAGGGGGCTTGAATAACTACCTGGAGACATTTTCATATCAATAACAATGGCTTAGCTGTTCTTGAACATAAAATTTTTTCCTATATATTCCTTTGTTAAAATTTTATCCCCACTGATGCACCTCCCTGCCCCCTGGAATCAAGATTTGGACAAATTTGAATCTACACTACCTAAGGATGCTTCCATATCAATATGACTATATATGGCTTTGGTATTATTGAGAAGACATTTCCTATATACTGTAAATCACTTAATTTTCGCGACACCTTATTTTCGCGAGATAGTCAATGACTCTTCATTAGCGAGACAAAATTTTCAAAATTGTGGTCATTGCTCTACATAATCATAAGGAATTATATTATACGCGAGAATCAAATTTTCGCGACCATACCGTCTCACGTAATAATGTGAAAATAAAGTAATTTACAGTATTCCCCTGTCCATTTTGATCCACCATTGGGGCCCTGCCCTACACCTGGGAGTCATGATTTGAACAAACTTAAATCTACACTACATGAAGATGCTACCGTATACATATCACCAGTCATGACATATTTGTTTCTGAGAAGATTTCTAAAAATATTTCCAATATAATCCCATGATTGTCCAATGTGGCCCAAACCTTTTCCCGGTAGACATGATTTGAACAAAATGAAATCTTCACTACCAAAAAGGATGATTTGCTATCAATATAACTAATTGTGGCTTGAGAAAAAAAAAGTATATCCCTACATACTGTAGATTCCTAAATATGTGCGTGGAATTAATTTTCACGTAATTTTGTGAGAAGCACCACACACAAAATTAAATTACTCGCCTTTATTTTAATGGCGCTGAAATCTATGTAAAATCTCTTAACCAACCATGCACTTGCGAATTATTATTCTTGTGATTTGACAGTGAAAAGCCTATTCGCAATAATTACTCGCGAAAAATAAGGAATCTACAGTATTATATATATTTTTGATCCTCTATTCTTACACCAACATGGGGTCTTGATTTGACTAATTTTGAATCTACACTACCTGAGGGTGATGCCACATAAGTGTCTCTTTCCTGTCTCAGTGGTTCTTGAAAAGAAGATTTTTAAAAGATGTCCTTAATTTTTCTCTTATGTAATCTTCCATTTGAAGAGGGAGTGGGCCTTCATTTGAATAAACTTAAATCCCATAATGGCATTTATCCAAGGATACTCTTTGCCAAGTTTCATTGAATTTGATCAAAGATGAAAATGTGAAATTTTACAAACAAGAGGCCCAAGGGCCACATCGCTCACCTGAGAAGCTTTGACCATTCTGTTCTTTACCAGATTTCCCCCTTGTAACACATATTGTGACCCCGCCCTACCCCACTGATCAAAATTTAGACAATTTGAAATCTACACTACCCCAGGATGCTTCCACATAAGTTTCAGCTTTTCTGGCCCAGTGGTTCTTAAGAAGAAGATTTTCAAAGATTTTTCCTATATATTTCTATGTAAAACTTTGATTCCCCATTGTGGCCCCGCCCTACCCCTAGGTGGTCATGATTTGAACAATTTAGAATCTAAAATATCCCAGGATGCTTCCACACAAGTTTCAGCTTTTCTGGCCTAGTGGTTCTTGAGCAGAGGATTTTCAAAGATTTTTTCTATATCTTTCTATGTAAAAATTTGATTCCCCATTGTGGCCCCGCCCAACCACCAGGGGTCATGATTTGAACAATTTAGAATCTACACTACCCCTGGATGCTTCCACAGAAGTTTCAGCTTTTCTGGCCCAGTGGTTCTTGAGAAGATTTTTTAATGACCCCACCCTAGTTTTGTCTTTTCTTGATTATCTAACCCTTGTGAGGGGATTTGGCCCTTCATTTTAACAATTTAAATTCCCCTTCACTCAAGAATGCTTGGTACCAAGTTTGGTCAAAATTGGCCCAGTGGTTCTTTAGAAGAAGTCGAAAATGTGAAAAGTTTACTTCTTTTAAAAACCAGCACTTATATCAATTGATCCTACAACTAAATTGGGTTTGTGATCAGGAGAGATCCTATATGAGATGTTTACCAATGCTTTTGAGACTCATCTTCCCGTGCGCCCTTGCGAACTTAGCCTGGGACAAAATGATACCCAGTATCCGTCTGCTTCCACGTGGAGGCATCGCATAGGACTTGTTGTGGAGAGGCTATGTACTGGCAGGGGAACAATTTAGAATTTCTTCCCCCTTTTCGCATTGCTGCTAGCCAGCGGTGATGGATGAAAGCGAGAGGTGACAAGCACACAGACACTAACACCAACACACTAGACGCGTCACACAACATTTAGCAGACGTTAGTAGTTTTAGTAGCTTGTTACTTGTTCAGGGTTCTCCATTGTTTGAAATTTTATTGTGTTGCAGAGTTTACGCAAAGCACTAAAATTTCACAGTATTTTAGCGATCAAATTTGCAACTGACTCACTATTCATTATAATTACTTAAGAATACATGACACAATTTAAAAAAAAAACAAGAGGCCCATGGGCCACATCGCTCACCTGAGCACCAAGGGTAGGACTAGTATAAAATGGCTTTTTATTGTAAAGTTTAAATCCAAAAGTAGTCAAATGACCAATCATGGATTTGCTATTTTTTAGAAAATGATTGAGAAGAAGATTTTTAAATAATTTTCCAATAAATTTCTATATAAAACCTTGGTCGGCCATTTTGGCCCCACCCTATCCACGGGGGTCATGATTTGAACAAAATTGAATCTACACTACCTGAGCATGCTTCCATATAAATATGATGAATTATGGCTTGGTCATTCTTGAGAAGAAGATTTTTAAAGAATTTTCCTTTATATCTCTATGTAAAACCTTGGTCGGCCATTTTGGCCCCGCCCTACCCCCGGGGGGTCATGATTTGAACAAACTTGAATCTACACTACCTGAGCATGCTTCCATATAAATATGATGAATTATGGCTTTGTCATTCTTGAGAAGAAGATTTTTAAAGAATTTTCCTATATATTTCTATGTAAAACATTGGTCGGCCATTTTGGCCCCGCCCTACCCCCCGGGGTCATGATTTGAACAAACTTGAATCTACACTACCTGAGCATGCTTCCATATAAATATGATGAATTATGGCTTTGTCATTCTTGAGAAGAAGATTTTTAAAGAATTTTCCTATATATTTCTATGTAAAACCTTGGTCGGCCGTTTTGGCCCCGCCCTACCCCCGGGGGTCATGATTTGAACAAACTTGAATCTACACTACCTGAGCATGCTTCCATATAAATATGATGAATTATGGCTTTGTCATTCTTGAGAAGAAGATTTTTAAAGAATTTTCCTATATATTTCTATGTAAAACTTTGGTCGGCCATTTTGGCCCCGCCCTACCCCCGGGGGTCATGATTTGAACAAACTTGAATCTACACTACCTGAGCATGTTTCCATATAAATATGATTTATTATGGCTTTGTCATTCTTGAGAAGAAGATTTTTAAAGAATTTTCCTATATATTTCTATTTTAAACTTTGGTCGGCCATTTTGGCCCCGCCCTTACCCGGGGGGTCATGATTTGAACAAACTTGAATCTACACTACATGAGCATGCTCCCATATAAATATGATGAATTATGGCTTTGTCATTCTTGAGAAGAAGATTTTTAAAGAATTTTCCTATATATTTCTATGTAAAACTTTGGTCGGCCATTGTGGCCCCGCCCTACCCCCGGGGGTCATGATTTGAACAAACTTGAATCTACACTACCTGAGGATGTTTCCCCATAAGTTTCATCTTTCCTGGCACAGTGGTTCTTGAAAAGAAGATTTTTAAAATATACCACTAAATTTTCATTAATTCCCAATTATCTCTCCTTGAATAAGGGCGTGGCCCTTCATTTGAACATACTTGAATCCCCTTCACCCAAGGATACTTTGTGGCGAGTTTGGTTGAAATTGGCCCAGCGGTTCTTGAGAAGAAGTCGAAAATGTGAAAAGTTTACAGACAGACAGACGGACAGACAGACAGACGGACAGACAGACAGACGGACAGACGGACGCCGGACAAAATGTGATCAGAAAAGCTCACTTGAGCCTTCGGCTCAGGTGAGCTAAAAATCACCAATTCGGTACAAAAATAGTATGGTCGAACATATTAGCACATGTTGTGAAATGCAGAGGAAATTCTTGTCTATAAAGTTGAACTACTTACAATTTTTTAAAGCAAATTTGTCATAATTTTTTTGTCAATTTTATTGATCGAATTAAGGAATTACAAAA